CATACATCTAGCACATGATCTTTAATTACGGCAAGTACATGGTAATGCATTTGAGTTATCGTAAAATAGCATTTAAGGGAAACAACAGACCAGTCAGTCAATCCAGACTGTCCCATCCACTCAATTTTTTCTCAAAAGCTCAAAAATGTGATAATGTTCATTCAAAGGATCTTGTTTATATATAGTAAGCATTCAGGACACAGAAAATTGCTTAAATCTTCATTAGCAAAAATTGTAAAAGATTATTTGGATAGGGATAACCTTAACAGTGTTATAAAAGAAAGGAATTTTGGTTTAGTGGTTGATCAGCCTTTTAAGCCATCCAAGCAGTGTGCTGTTACTATTGGAAGGGCAAATAGGATTTTAGGTTGTATATACAGAAATATTGAATACAAGTCTAAAGAAATTATAACTTCATTGTATAGGTCACTGGTTAGGCCACAACTGGAGTATTGTGTTTAGTCTTGGGCTCCTTACTTTAGGAAGGACATTGAATTGTTGGAAAGGGTATAGAGGAGGGCTAATAGAATGGTGCCTGGGATGAAGGGGTTGTCATACAAGGAGAGGCTAAGACCTTTGAAACTGTTTTCTCTTGAAAAAAAAAAAAAAAGAGTTAGAGGGGATCTGATTGAAGTGTTTAAGATTGTTATGGGAACCGATAGTGTTGACACATGATCTTTTTTCTTACATAATGGTGAGAACTGTAGGACTAGAGAACATAAATATAAATTTTGGCAGGGAAGGAGCCATCTTCAGCTAAAACAGTTATATTTTTCTAACAGGATAGTTGGCCTTTGGGTGTTATGGAGGCAGTAAATTTAAGTAAGTTTAAGAAAAAGGTTGATTACTATATGAAAAAGGTCTGGCTTTGAGGTTTTTTATTTCTCTTTTTCTTATTTAAGAGTTTGAGTTTAATTTAGAGGATGGGACAACCTAAATGGACCAATAGGTCCCTTGTCCCTAAACATTATATCACAATGATCAGATACGAGCCTTTTTATATCATCCCTCAAAGGCTTCACACCCATCCTAAAATTTTGCTAACCCTTAATGTATTTAGAAGTACAGTTAATTTTTTTATAATTTCTAGCCAACGTAAATTTAAGATGCTTTTTTTATAAATTTCATGCTTACATCAACCTAGTTTTTTTTTAATTGCACCCACTCTTTTTTTCTGTAAGAAACCTATCTTGAATGCTTAAACATTTATTTTTAAAATTTTTCATATTTGATCAGCGTCTCCAATTAATTCAGTTTAATTAGTCTCTCAAACATATTCAGTTGCTCAATCCACATCAGATAATTCTTGTCACATCTTTTCAAAACTTGATTTTTTGAAACAAGAGAACAACATTTCAATGTTCTAAGCCTCCAGAAACCAGGGTTAAAAGGAACTCACTCAATATTGTGACAGAAAAAAGTATCTTAGCTAATGGAGGATAAGTTACTCAAGCCATAAAGACAATGCTGTTTTGCTAATAGTAAAGCTAATACAATTTTAGTGTGCATTTATAGACATACTGATTACAAGTCAAAATAGGTGAATGTAGAGGCCACTTGATTGAACGAGGAACTTTTACCTTTAAATTTAAAGTTTTATATTTTTTTGGCCTTTGACAATTTTTATTCTATACTGTTACTATAGTTACCATTAAAATTAATATTACACTAGCCAAACTCAAAATGTTAATTTATCATAATTTTTACCAGGCTTTTCTGATTCATATGGAGCATGAGAGAGAGGGAGAGGGGGGGGGGGTAAAAATTCGTTTTATTTTTTAGCTATACATTCTTAAACTTACATAGGGCCTTCCAAATACCTAAGGCTGACTCTGGGAAGTATTGTCTAATAGGTACATGCCATACTATGTTCTCTTAACTTACTTTCTCTTAAAATTCATGAGGTAAGACATGATCTTATTGAAGTTTATAGTATTATCTGGGGAATCAATAGGATAAAAGCCTCTGATTTCTTTGGGCTATATTCTAAATATAACAGGACAAGCAGATGCAAGTTTCAGATTTGGAAAAGAAATGGTAGGCTCCAGTTGAGTACAGTTTAATTTTTCTAACAAGATGTTTGAATTATGGATTGATTTCCTGTTGGCAATAATAGAAGCCAGTGTTTCAAACAAGAATCTATTATTTTATTTTGAAATAAAGGGTGAGTTCAAATTTTTAATTTTTTCAAGGAGATGTGTGCAAGAAAAAACGATACTACTATAGCATGCACAGATACTATCATCATCACTGTTTTAATAATTCACTAAAACATAATTTCTTGCTAAATAATTTATATCTATCCACATTTTTTTTCAGGAAATAATAATACTTCAATAAGTTGTGTGTTCCAAATAAGTAACTTAAATTTAGGTTATAATTGTGCTAGTTTTGATTGTTGGAATTAATTTTATTACAATTATATTTACCACAAAAATGTTATGTAATGGTATGTTGTACTTTATTAGATTCAAAGCATTATTTATAATAAAAGATGCCAATTGCAAATAAAGAAAAGGTAAAACAGTGAAGATGATAGTATCTGTGTAGACTGCATGCTATAGTGTAAATATCTTTGTTGACCAAATGATATAGTAGCACCAGGAAAATCTTAAAGGCCTAAATAAAACCTTTATATTAACACGCTCTATAATGTCTTCTACTTTAGCACCTAGCACACAAATTATAATCCTTATGATGAGGAATTATTTACATCTCTAGTGATAAACAGCTTAACAATTTATAACCATTTAGTTTCTCAAATACAAATTTCGTTGCTGAAAATTGAACTTAAAAGTCTCCTAAATATTTCACAACACAAGTCTGCAACTTATAAAGAACATTTGATAATTGACTTCTCATTTTGAAGCTTTTACATATTTTTTGGTTAAAATAATAATCTGAGAAAAACTTCCTATAGTCAATTTGTGTGTCAGAATGTATTTCCTATGTATTGTTTAGGTGTGGGCTGTTTATTTGTCCATAAAATTATTTCACATTTTAGAGATTTGTATTACATGTACAAACAGGGTTGATTTTACATCTGGGAAAATTCTTGCATCTATATCAATACTGAAGACAATAAGACATAATTTATAGTTTTATGATTTCCTGGGAGGTTTAAACAATTTTTGTCTCTTAGCTCTGTGTTGTGAAAAAGGAAACTGCCACATGGAATTCATTCCCAAATTTTGCTGAGATGAACAAAAACAGAGCTGAAGTATTAATAAACATAGCAATTAACTTACAAATTACATCTATGGAAGTTGAATTACATCTATGAAAATATACACATTTTAACAGGAATTCAGCTTCACATACACATCTCCAATCTTTCCTTATGTTCAGCTATGCATTTATGTTAAAGCTATTATGACACTGTAAACTCAACTTGATAGTAATTAACTTTGTTTTAGCTACTTTTTTAAAACTTTTTACTACTTCCATTTATTCTTATTATTATAAGAATCCACATGTTTATATCTGAAATTCAAATTCGAACTTCAACTGACCAAGCAGAAAAACAAGTTGATGCAAATTTGTATATTGTGTTATTAGTAGGAGTTTAAAATTTACAATAAAATGGTGTTAATCTATGTGGAACTGAACAAGTGTTTAATGTTTATAACACATTATTATAAATTAATAATACAACATAACAACAGCAGTGTCAATTAACTCTTATTTTATAACAAGACAAAATGTGCTATTTAGGAGGAAATAACTGTAAACACAGTGATATTATCATTGTAATGTATACCGTATTTTTCGGAATATAAGATGCACCCTTATTTCGAAGACAAAGTTTTGGGTAAAAAAAGGCTACAGTCGCATTTGAAAGATTTTTATTGAACAAAAATTCAATTTGATACTTTAAAATTAGTATATATTGTTCTAAACACAAAAGAGCTCAAAACATCAAAATAAGAAAATACCATAAATCAAAAAAAGGTTTACTGTTATTTAGTTTGGTTCAAAACCTATAAAATCTTCATTGCTTTCACTGTAATTTTTTTTGTTATTATTTAGGGAGCATTATAAATAGTTATGTTTTTAAAAGAAAAAAACTACTATTGTTATAAATAACACATTCAATTGAACTAAACTATGCATGCCTATTTAAATATACTTACACATGGCTTGTGTATATCGTATTGTTGCGTCAGCTAGGTCACGTGACTAGTGT